TGGAGGGGAGAAGGGGAGGTGCTGTAATAAATTTGGCCGGCAACTAGGTAGGATGGGACTCTGTGGTTGGGGCCAATGCCATCCTCATGTCCTCTCCCATATGACGCCCCACTATCAAAATCCAGAAAGCTCCACACATGCCAACAGAAGAGAAGATCGCCAAGATCCACAAGCCAGTGCTGAAAAGGACGATAATTATCTGGATATAAGACCCATGATGTGGACATCAGGGCTGCTAACCACATCCAGCAGGACAATGCTCTTGAAACAGCAATTTCGTCAAAACGGACATTTTTTTATTTTTGGGAATGGAATTGAAACCTCATAACCCCCACCGCTCCTGAGGAAGGTAGCGCGCGCTAGCGCTAGAGCTATGGCTGGCGGGCGGGCAGCGAGGTGCGGGCGGCACGTGGATGGTGGCATGCTGGTTGCTTACAGGCGAGGCGCTAGCTGGCCGGAGGTGGCAGGGCGCTGGCTTCTCGCAGGTTGCTAGGCGCTGGCTTCTCGCGAGTGGCGAGGCGCTGGCTGTGTGAGTGCAGCGAGGCGCTGGCTGCTGGCGGGGGACGAGGCACTGGCAGCAGGTGAGTGGTGGGGTGCTGGTGACTTGCGGCTGGCGAGGCGCTGGCTTGGGGTGACTAGTAAGATGATAGCTGACACGTGGCGCAGTGCTGGCAGCCGACGAGATGGACGCGCTGGTGCGAGGGTGCTGTGATGTCGTGAATTAGATGGGGGATAGCGCTTGAGACACGCGCGGTATCCAGAGGCGCTGGGTCATTACTACGTCACAAGTTGGCGTGGCATCTGGCCTGAGGCACAGAGGAAAAGGGAGAATGGTAGCGGCAGCTGCTGTTTGAACATTTTCCCTATGTTTTTCACATGAAGTACTCCATAGCCAAGACCTTTAAAGAGGCTGGAGAGCTCATGTGAGTTGACGAAAGTCGATGTCGGTGGAGGAAAGTGGAGTCAGCCCCGTGGAGACCAAAGTGCGGAGAACGTTGGTCCTACTTGAAGAATCATCACAGTGCCACTGTGAGAGTATCATCAAGAGAGCGGCTAGGAGGTCATCATCAACCTGTATATGTACTTTCGTCTTTTTTTGTCTTGTGCAGGCTATTCATCAAGAGCATCGAGATTTTCACCATTGTCATTTCCGCGGGGGGTTTTCATCAAGGACATCGTCATTTTTGTAATCCTCATTTGGTTACCGGTGGTAATCATCATCGGCTTCTCTAATTCGTCATCCATGTTATTTATCTTTTTTATTCATCATCTTCATCTGATCATCAGATCACCACGCTGCGGCATCGGTGAAGTAAAAAAAAAAAAAAAAGGCTCAGTGCACAGTGCGCAGTTGTCACCATCATGCTTTTTTTTAGCATGTAAAGTCTATCATCCCGCACGGCGCTCCTCGCCATCACTCTCCTCATTTCTTTTGCTTCACACTAATTCTTATTTTACCTCTTTGATGCACAATTAATTACTTTCATCATCATTACCATCATCCCATACTCAGTCTTGATGTTGTACAATTCCTTCTCAGAAGCTTTATGTCGTAGATGGTTAGGATGGATTGAGTAGGGAGAGCTCTTTTCCGCAGGGGAACACACAAGGTGGGAGGTGTTTGCCCTCAGGGAGCAAGGGCAGATAAGGGATTGTTACACTCTGGGGCTGGGAGAGATGGAAGGGGGAACATCATCTACTAGCGGAGGCAGAGTGGGACAAAGATAGCTCGAGGAATACCTGGGGGGGGAACAGGTAGCCACGTGGGTAGTAGGGTAGAGGGAGGATCTTCTCTTGCTGGGGTTGATGGGAAATGTCGGTCATCAGAGGTAAGGGGAGAGGAGGTGAGTTAGGTGGGTAAGAGGTGAAAAGAGGTGGAGTGGACAGGGGAGGCATCATCATTATCATCATCCCGTCATCATCAGTCTTGTTAATCATTATCCTCGTCTTCTTCATCAAGGGTGTTGTTGTGCTCTTCCTAGGTAAGTTATGGTTTCAAAAGGTAGGAGGTTGAGTGGGGAGAGCTCTTCTCCGCAGAGGCAACACAAGGAGGGAGGTGCTTGCCTTGTAGGGGGTAAGGGCAGATTAGGGGGACTGCGCTAGCCTGGGGCTGGGAGGGATGACGGGGTCGCATCATCTCCTGGCGGTGGCAGATTGAGCAAGCGTTGGCTGGAGGTATACATTTAGGGGGAACTGGTCGCCTCGAGGGATCAATGGCAGTGGAGGGTTTCTTTCTTGTTGAGGCTGATTGGTACTGCCTATTATCAGATAGTTCTACTCAGCGGAGGCATCGAGAAGGGAGGAGGGGAGAAAAGAGGGGGAAGAAAGGAGGAGGAAAGAGGAAGACGAAGCAGCATCTATCTTGATCATCTATCGTATCATCATCATCATCACCATCGTCATCAGATTGGTTGTCTGCTCTGGATCCTACCATTATCAGATCCAAATTCTTAGGTGACATTCTAATATAGCTGATTCCCTAAATTAGCTTTTATTGTGTTTTTGACTAGGTTGAGTAGTAGCCAGAACGATGTTGGCCGGTGCTGGGGCCTCGCCCTGTAACCTTCATAGGAGCTTGAGGCCTTGGATAGAGATCTGGGGATTGCTGAGGGTGGAAGGCAATCATAATACTCGACCAAAGGCTACAATCTAGTCGACGAGGGTCGGCGCTGGGGTGGGTGGCACTACCCTGTAACCTAGCTGGATTGGGGGGTGAGACCGGGTAGAGGCTTGGTTGGTACACAATATTGGCTCGGTAGAGATTGGCTGGTTGGTTTGAATACCTAAGATTAGGGTTAGGGTAGTATGTGAGTTATGAGTAGATAAGCATTCTGAGTAGTCAGCATCAATCTCTAGCTTGTTACCTCAATCATCTGGAAGTGTTCCTGAATCATCCCAAATTCTCATCAATCATTAATGTATTCCAATTATAAGGGACGCTGGGCCCGGTTCCGAGCACGTGCTGCTCCCCACGAATAGATTGGAGCTTTAAAAAAAAAAAAAAAAAAAAAACTTGGTTCTATTTAGGTCGAAAGTTTAAGCTCTCGAGGGGCGAGCGTCCTTAAAACGCCAAACTCCATGGATGTCTCTGGACTTAGCTGGAGAACAGAGGGTACGGAATTTTCAGAACGCCGGACCCCGTGGATGTATCTGGACTTCGATGGCATCCAGGGGCTACCCTCAGGAGCTTAAAATATCGACATGAATCGGGCTAATTTGTGAGGTTTCAATTACGCCAGACCCTTTGGATGTATCTGGACTTAGCTGGAGAACACGGGTTACAATATTTTCAGAACGCTGGACCCCGTGTGGATGTATCTGGACTTAGCTGGCATCAAGACCTCAGGAGCTTAAAATATGGACATAAACCGGGCCAATTTATGAGGTTTCAATTACGCCAGACCCCCTGGATGTATCTGGACTTAGCTGGCATCCAGGGGGTAAGGCGTACTCTCAGGGGCTTAAGTTATCGACATAAATCGGGGCAATTTATGAGGTTTTGATTTCGTTCAAAAAATAAAATATGTCCATTTTGACGGAATCGCTGATGACAAGTGTGAACAGGAGATGAGCGAGGACATGAGCGAAGTGTATATTGAGGTATCTGGCAATTGATTGGTGTGGTGAGAAGAGTGATGATGATATTGAAGAGTCTGGTGATACAGTGTTCTTAGCTACTGGATCAAATGGAACAAAAGGTCAAAACACTGTTGACTTTTCAGGTCCACTTCCCATTCATTTACAGGCCTGGCTAGAGGCTTGTTTTCAGGAAACTCAGAAACTGTTTGTAGCAAATTCCCCTTTTCAAAGCAGCTGGGAAAACATCAGTTTCAAAGCCTCTGTTCAGCAAAGCACTGTATTACTGAAAGATAGGGAACAAGTTCAGAACAACTGATATGACAAATTTTGCACAGAGATGGCTGTTTTCCACAAACCACAAGGATATAGGTACTTTATATCTAATCTTTGGTGCAATACCAAGGTCCAGAAACTTTATAAAACAATGGTAATTGATTATTTGAATTTGTAAAAACAGTATAAATAGAGAAATCAGCTATGCTGTTTTGCCGGGCACCTGGGCACCCAACTTGTGCTCGGACACATGCCCAGGTGCCCTGCTGGGCGTGAACCTGGGGCAGGGTTCCCAGCAGCCCCAGCGCAAAAACAAATAAAAATAAAAATAAAATTCCAGAAAAAAACAAATATGGTATGTAGAATTGCAACACAAATGACTTTTGGCTGAGGCTCATATCATAATTCCTCACGGATTCGAAGATAAAGAAGAGAAAAACAGAATCAGACTAAGGCACCCCCCTTTAGACCCCTTTAGCCCCTTGAAAACCAATTTCTGCCCCCTTCCCCCCCCCCCCCCTCCTCCTCTTTGACAGCCAACATTCAAAAAGCGAAAGGAGCCCGGATCGAATCGATGCCCGCACCCCCAAAACAAGCATCGCCAAGCAGCCACAGCAAACGACGTCATCAACGCCACCCTCCCCCTCGCCCCCAAAAAAAACGTGGCGCAGCAATGGCAAAACGACATGGGGAAAGATAGGTCGGTTTCTGCCTGCGCACTTTTCCGCCAGCGGTTCCCTTGTACCCGATAGCACCTGGCGCTCAGTTTTTCCCCGGGCCCACTGGGGGCGTTATGCGAGGACCGCTTTTGCATCGAATAGGATTATTAGGGGTTAAAACACATACTCCCTGCTTTTCCCATCTGTAAATCAGGTTTTGTGTGCCCTTCGATAGGTTTCTGGTGCAAGCTTCAGTACCTTTGCCCATTCTTTTTGACCCCAAAAAAATGGAAAAACGTACCTTTGCCCGTACTATCTTGAACCTTGTACTTACTAGGTGGGTGGTGGGGAGCAGCTTGTACAACAGGTTTCAGGCAGGGGGGCCGTTGGAAGGAAATACCACCACGTTCTGTGTCTACAGGCTACAGTAGCATGCTTACTCATGCTAGGACTTTGGATTTCTTTTTTCTGCTTTCACATCATGGACAGGAAAAATCCACTGGAGGTGGACGTTACTGGAGAGCTGAGAAAATCTGGGCCGTTGTCTCCTCCAACATCAATTGCAAGGTGAAAAAAGGAAAAAAGAAAAGCAAGGTGCCTGGTCGCCTGCCTGCCTGCCTGCCTGCTGGCCTTCCTCTCTTAGCCCTTCTCCCTTTCTCTCTCCCTCCATTTCCCTCCCCCCCTTTTTTTTTGGTATTATCATAATTATCTGCCTCTCTGTTCGACGTCCCTACCTTCCTCTCGCTGCCCTCTTCCTTTGTCCGTCCTCCCGACCGTCTTTCTTCCCCTCTGTGTCCTTCTCTTTTCCTCTTCCCCACAACTCCCATCCTCTCACCCTCCCTCCGTCCCTCTCCCCCCCCGGGCCCTCTCCCCGCCTCCCTCCCTTTCCTTGGTACTTCATTTCCTCTTCCCTTCTCCCTTTTCATCACTCTATTTCTCCTCCTCTTGTTTTACCTCCCTCCCCTCGCTCACTCCCTTTCTTTTCTTTGTCTCTCTGTTTTCTCTCCTTTCTTGTGAGCCCCTTCCCTGCCTCCCACCCTCCCTCACTTCCCACTCTCCTTTTCTTCTTTTCACCTATCTCCTTCCTGGTGACCAGTTCCATCCTTTTTTTCTTTTTTCTTTTTTTCTTTTTTTTCCCCCGAAATAGCCCTTGTGTAAGCCCTCTATCCTGGCGGCGGTAAGAGAACCGTCAGAATTGAGGTCTTATCTGTCGGGCTGCTCCATCTATTGGTGGGGAGCGGCACCTGCTGGAAACCAGGTCCAGCGTCCCATTGGTACATCTTGTAATACAGAGATTGCTGTTTGTTTGTTTGATTGTTTCCTGGATGCTTCTCTTGTCAGCCCGGGGCTCCATTTTCCCTTTCGAGCTGCTATGAATACCCATCCCATTTTGGAGCACCCCTTGTCTATTAGCTCAGTCCTATTCAGCAGCTCCCCTGTTCATTGTTTCCATAAAACCCTTTAAACCCTACAGTGCCTACACCCTTTGCACCCCATGCATACCCATCCGTGATCTTGAGGGCCACAGATTTGCACTGGGCTGTACTACAATGCAATGCAATGTAATGCAATACAATGCTAAATGCAATGCAGTGCGATGGAAAGCAAATGAACAAGTAAATGAAGGTTGTGCCAGTTCGACTGCCTAAGTGGGTGTATGCTCAGCCATTGTGAGCATGAGAGGTCTACGAGTCACGGGGCAGTCTCTGTTGTCGTTTCCAGTATCCTCGCTGTAACATGTTATGTTTCCTCCCCTGCTTCCCATCAGTTAGCAGTCGGGCACTTTGTTCCTTCATACTTTGAGCTGTTCTGCACCCGATCGTCATTGTAGCTTACTGCTGTTCACTCCATCAATTTCTTGCGAAGGGCGGCTCTTGTTGCTTCACTCCACTCGATGCCCGACCAGGTCTTCATAGGAGCAGAGTTGCTGTATTTCCAGGG